GGACTCGATAGGTAGACAAAAAGGCCAAATCCAGTCTGAACATCTGGCTGACTGTGCGATGATCCATAATAATAATAATAATAATAATAATAATAATAATAATAATAATAATAATAATAATAATAATAATAATAATAATAATAAATAGTGTTGGAAGGGACCTTGGAGGTCATCTAGTCCAACCCCCTGTTCAGGCGGGAAACCCTTTTATCCGATACTTGGGAGCCATTTTGAACTCTCTTTTTTTCCCTGGGTGCCCCGTTTTACAGAGAGTCCTCAACCTACGACCTCAGTTGAGCCCCATATTTCCATTTTGCTAGGCAAGATGGTTGTTAAATGATTTTTGCCCCGTTTTACGACCTTTCTGGCCACCGGCCTTTTAAGTGAACCGTGAGGTCGTTAAGGGACTCCGGTCTCCCCCTTGACTTGGCTTGTCAGAAGGTCGCAAAAGGGGATCGCATGATTCCCCCCCCCGGGACACGGCGACTGTCGTAAATAGGAGCGGTTGCCAAGCATCCGAATTTTGATCAGCTGACCACAGGGGTGATGCAATGGTCGTAAGTGCGAAGAGCAGTCGTAAGTCATTTTTTCAGTGCTGTCGTAGCTTTGAATGGTCATTAAACAAGTAAGTTTGTAAGTCAAGGATTTCAGTTACATAAAAATAGTTTTGAACTTTTTCTGCACATTTTATTGGGGAAATGTTTGGTTGAGTTACTTTCAAGTAAATCAGGTTTAAATAGAATTAGAATTAGAATAGAATAGAATAGAATAGAATAGAATATAATTACAGACTAGAATAGAATAGAATAGAATTACAGACTAGAATAGAATAGAATATGAAATGGAATAGAATAGAATAGAATAGAATAGAATATGGAATAGAAAATGGAATGGAATGGAATAGAATAGAATTACAGACTAGACTAGACTAGACTAGACTAGACTAGAATAGAATAGAATAGAATAGAATAGAATAGAATAGAATAGAATAGAATAGAATATGAAATGGAATAGAATAGAATATGGAATAGAAAATGGAATGGAATGGAATAGACTAGAATAGAATTACAGAATAGAATAGAATAGAATAGAATAGAATAGAATAGAATAGAATAGAATAGAATAGAACTGGAAGGGACCTTGGAGGTCTTCTAGTCCAGCCCCCTGCTCAAGCAGGAGGACCTATATCATCTCAGACAAATGACTGTCCAGCCTCTTCTCAAAAACCTCCAGTGATGAAGCGTCCACAACTTCTAGTGGCAAGCTGTTCCACTGGTTAATTGTCCTCACTGTCAGGAAGTTTCTCCTTAATTCCCAGTTGCTTCTCTCCTTGATGACTCTCCATCCATTGTTTCTTTTCTTGCCTTCTGGTGCTTTGGAGAATAATGTGACCCCCATCTTCTTTGGGGCAGCCCCTCAAATATTGGAAGACTGCTATCATGTCCCCCCTAGTCCTTTTTTTCTCTAGACTGGCCATATCCAATTCTTGCAGCTGTTCTTCGTCGTTCTTTATATTATATTATAGATAATTATTAATGGAAATACTTCAACAGAAAGCTTCAATTTTGATTTGAAGTAGGGGTTTATTTTTAGGTGTTTTTTCCCCCCACTTCCGTCAAATATGAATGCATGGTCTAGAAATTAAGCGGGAAACCCAACACGTGGTTCCGTTTGCGAAACTCTAGATCCCTGAGAACAAGTTAACATTGACATTTTAAGGAAATGTATAAGAAAATATCGTGAAGGTGGAGAGGACCTCGCATCTTGCTCCCAAATGTAAAATCAGTCTTGCAAAGTCAATTCATCCTAGCAAGATCGCTGCATAAATAAATACATTTTTTTTCATCTGCTGTATGAACAGCGATGCAATAATAGCGTAATGTATGTGTGAACCACTTAACAAAACTCTGCAAGCTGCCAGGTAAATATTACCCATGCTCTTAATTTAATTTGTGCTCGGAAGATCCAGCTGGTAAGATATGCAAATAAGTCCAATATTTCACCTGCTTAAAAAAAAACAACCCTCATTTATGCCTTTAAGATCAGCCCAAGCTCTAAGGAGAACCCTCGTTTTAATAGGGAGGCTACTATTATTATTATTATTATTATTATTATTATTATTATTATTATTATTATTAAACATTTAATCGTCAGTTCAATTCACAGTCTGGGACTGGTAAAAACAACAGTTTTTACTTAAGAGCTGTTAAGGTAGCATCTGAGCAAAGTCAGGATATTCAGATTTAACCAGTTCAAAATATCCACGTATCTAGGCAGCCCTTTGGGTACTGTAGACTTTTTCCCATTTTTCCACAGTTGTGATCTCAGGCACGTTGTGGGCCAGACCTCTTTCTGTTTGGATCCGAAACTCCCACAGGATCTTGACCTGTTCATTTTCAAGAATTTTCGTCCATTTGATGTTCCCAGTCATTTTGGCTGCATTTGAACCCAAACTTCTGACAAAGTTTCCAATGTATGTAATAATAGTAATAATAATAATAATAATAATAATAATAATAATAATAATAATAATTTGAATGGTCACCTGATTGAGGTTTATGTCTAATGAATAATAATAATAATAATAATAATAGTAATAATAATTTGAATGTTCACTTGATTGAGGATCACGTCTAATGAATAATAATAATAATAATTTGAATGTTCACTTGATTGAGGTTCACGTCTAATGAATAATAATAATAATAATAATAATAATAATAATTTGAATGTTCACTTGATTGAGGTTCATGTCTAATGAATAATAATAATAATAATAATAATCATAATCATAATCATAATCATAATCATAATCATAATAATCATAATATAATGATAATAATAAAGTTGGAAGAGACGTTGGACGTCATCTAGTCCAACCCCCTGCTCAGGCAGGAAACCCTACACCATTTCGGACAAATGGCTGTCCAGTCTCTTCTTAAAAGCTTCCAGTGTTGGAGCATTCACCGCTTCTGGAGGTAGGTTGTTCCACTGGCTAATTGGTCTAACTATCAGGAAGTTTCTCCTTAGTTCTAGGTTGCTTCTCTCCTTGATCAGTTTCCATCCGTTGCTTCTTGTCCTGCCTTCAGGCACTTTGGAGAATAGCTTGACTGTTAGAATTTTATAGTTCAGGCTTCTATAGCAAAACTAGGCCAGTGGCCAGCTTGCGTACTAGAGGCCTAGGACAGTAAGTGAGGCAACCACATCCTCTGAGAAAATAACGGTTAACAGGAAGCTAGCATAGCAATGGGGCAAGAAGAAGCTTGCAATCTGCTTCTGCACTAACCACATCCTATAGAAAGCTACAACCAATCA